AGGAACTTTGGTCCAGTGTTAATTAACATTAACTTAATTAACATTTCCAAAAATATTACATTAACTCTAGAACAGACTGGACTCATATAAACTAGGGTTGTAACAATATCCAAATCTCTCGGTACGATATTATAACGATATACATCTCATGGTATCATATTTATAGCAATATTTTGGAGAGACTGATACATTTGTAGATAGGACACTTTTATGCTTTTAAAATATCCTGACAAGATTTTGGTGTGAATAATTTCCGTCATAATCCCACGAATTCATGTAAAAAACATAACTTCATGTTGTCTGCACTGAAATGAATCATGGGATATGTAGTTCCCAATGTTTCTAAGCTGTTGCTACCATAAAAGCATGCATTTAAGCAGAGAAACATGTACTTCGATATTATTGTGATGGTCCATGATATTGTTGTGAGATTTTTGACAATACGATATCACGATATTTCGGTTACTGTCACATCCCTAATATAAACCCTGAGAAAATGTTAAAAGTGATTCTGTGAGAGTCAGTTTGAACACTTTTTGCTGGTTACTATTGCCAGCCCTATAACATGCTCTCCTTTAATAGTATTGAGCATATGCAGCATTACTTCCCCTGACTCAGGGCTGTAGTCTATTTATAAAACAGAAACTGAGCTGCATTCAAGGACCTGGTGTGGCTGTGGGAAATGCCATAACTGTAGATTACAAGGGGATCATACGATGGCCTTTGTTTGACCTTTGGAGCCAATGCAAAACAAATATTTACTTAACTTCAACAGAGTCTTCAGTACTTACAGTTAGCTCATGTGGCTTTGTCTGTGGAGGCTGACAAAATACATATTGGTTGACAGAATTGGCTCTCCTCTCCACAGATCTGACCCGTAACTTGACCTAGTGGCATCTCCTGCTTATCTCCATGCAGAGTAAATAGTTTATTGCCATCAAGTGTAACATTCCATTCACGTAATCAAGCAAAACCTGTCTTGCCCACTGTGTACTTTTAATTAGAAGCCATCTAATCAGGAAATGTGTGTTAGCATACTAGCTGTTGTCAAGTACAGGGTCTTTAAAATACTTTTCCAGCCTCATACTCTCTGCAGGTCCGATAAATGGACAAAAAATCAAACTGGAGCATGAGCTAATGTGCTGACTCATCATTACTCAGCCTTTCATTGATTCTTGGTGCACCAAAAATATATGAGTCTATGAGTAATATTTGAGTTTCCCGAGCCAATATTTAGGCTCACCTCTATTCGCAGACTAGTGTAATTGGAAGGTCAAATATTAGATAAAGGTTCTATGTTACGAGAAATTTGACTCTTGAGAGGTTTTAAGCCATGTTAGAATGTTGTTACTGCATGAAAAACAAACCTGGAGTTGTGTTTTGTTTCATTCACACATGTTTGAGTAACTCTTTGTTATTAGTCTGTCAAAGATCAAAATGCTCTGATCCACCTTGTGACATCATGTAGTGCAGCTCCTTTTACGTTTTGCGTTTTCAGCTTGGCAGATGAACTTTAAATGTGCAGGGTTTGTGTGGTAAACATGTGTGAATGAAACAAAACACAACTCCAGGTCTGTTTGTGAAAATAGGTTCAGAAAATAGTAGAGATGTAAGAATAACCAAAATATTGTGATATAGTTTCGCCAAAAGTCTCACAATAATGTCATGGGCTGTCACAGTATATCGAATTACAAGTTCCTTTGCTTAAATGCATTGCCTTATAGTAGCAAAAGCTTATGAACATCAGAAACTACATATCCCATGATTCATTTCAGTGCAGACAACATAAAGAAATATGTTTTTACTTCAATTCTTGAGATTATGACAGAAATAATTCACACCAAAATCTTGTCAGGGTATTTTAAAAGCAGAAACATGTCCTATCTACAATTATATCAGCCTCTCCAAAATATCACAATAAATATCGTACCGTGAGATGTATATCGTGATAATATCGTACCGAGACATTAGGATATCGTTACATCCCTTGAAAATAGTGTAATACAGACCCTTAAAAAAAAACTAAAGCAAATTTACAATGAATTGACCTCACAAATAAACACAGCAAAAGATTCCTATATAACATGACCATCTTTATTTAATTATTAGCTTGTCTCCATGGAGATCTTCTGCCTGGAATGTTCCACGATACAGCATTAAACCTACAGTATCTATATTGCATTTATTCAATTAGATGACAGGTTTTTATTGCTCAAAATGCACTGAAAACAGGGATTCTTATTGTCAGCGGGGCCGCCTCTCCACAGATCTGACTTGTACACTATATTGCATCGCTAACTATACTACATAATTACGTTAGGTTGCTGTAGTTCAATTGCACAATAGAAATAACCACCAGTAAACAGCTAATACATGAGTAATAACATAAAAAAGAAATAAGAAATTGTGTAACTTTTCTGGTGGAGAGTTCGTCAAATGCTTTTCTTCATGGAGATTACTTTGTCTAGAATGTTTCACAGTATGGCATTAAACCTTTCTATCTTCATGGGAGACCAAATCAGACCAAGTTACAGATCAGATCTGTGGAGAGATGACCCCGCTCACAGTCAGAACGTCTGTTTTCTAGGTATTTTTGACACATAAAACCACCTGTGATTGAGTAAATGTTATGTAGAGCTGTTTAATGTCACACCTTTAAAGTATCTTGTTGAAATTTAAAAGTGGAACTGAGACAAAGATCAGATAGAACCTTTATTTGTCTCACAATGGTTAAATTTGAGCATTGCAACAAAAAGTTCAAGAATAAAAATAGTCGAATTGTTTGACTAGAAATAAATTTACGCTTTTGGTAGATGCAGCTTACAAGTTTCGCCTCTCTCCTCTCATTTAGTATACCTAGTGTGTAGTAACAGTGCATGGGGTGTTGGTTATTTGTCCCGCAATGGGAAATTTCAGTGTTACAATGCAAAGTAGAATAATAATATGCAGTGACAAACTAAGATACAAAGCTAATTAAAACACAGTACAACCATATTACTAGAAGTAGAAGAGCACTTTCAGTAAATACAACTTGCAAGCTTCACCTCTGTCCTCTCATTTATGCTTTGTGTAAACAGTGAACAGGGTGTTGATTATTTGTCCCACAATGAGAAATTCCAGTGTTGCAACGTAAAGTTCAAGAATGCAAATATGCAGTGAAAAATGTACATAAACAGCTCATTAAAACACAGTATTACGATTTAACTAGAAGCAGATTTACACTTTCGATAAACACAACTTGCAAGCTCGTCCCAGCACTCATTTATGCTTTGTGTATACAGTGAACGGGGTGATGGTTATTTGTCCCGCAATGGGAATGTTGCAATACATTTTTATAAAATCAGAGACCAATAACCGACATTTCATCATGAAAGGCAAGTTATAGTAATAACAATAGAATAGAGAAAAAACAGGCTGAATAGGCGTTAATATGTTAATTCTGAACAGTTCTTTAGATAACTGTAGCATAAACAACATAACATACATTTACCAAACTCTCCGTCTCACTCCAAATCACTAAATCCATTAAATTATTCATCTTCGGTGTCACTTCTGCGCGACCTCCGGAGATAAACCATAGATCCATGAGGAAAATGGAGCGCCGCTTCCTCTTTTGCACAGCCGTCGTCAGACTCAGCGTCAGTTCCAGTTAGAATTATTCCGGCCTTTGTGAATCTTGACAGGATGGTTTCGGTTTTCACTGAAGTTCAGGCTTTGTCAATCCATCCAGTGACCCTCCCTATTACAGTGAAGCTGTGTTCTCCATTCCCGCTTTCTGTCAGTCCCTCACAAGTTTCTCGCTCACTCCAAACTTTCTTTCTGCTGCTCAATTATAATTTTCGGCTGCATATTTCACTACTTGCAGCAGGACAGCGGCTTTTTCTGCAGGAGACGTGCAGTAGAGTGAAGTGACAGTGGGACAGTGGTAGCAGATACTGACACACAAGCTTAGAGCGCCCTCTTGTTGCTGTCAGTGTGAAATTTTTAATATATAAGTCGCAGAACCATCCAAACCATGAAAAAAAGTCTGAAAAATATGGTAAACAGTCTAACCATTTGACTATGCTTTTGGTAAATGCAACTTGCTTGCTTCACTCCTCTCCTCTCATTTATGCTTTGTGTAAACAATGTAAACACAGCTCATTAAAACACAATATAACCACTTGACTAGAAGTAGATTTACGCTTTTGGTAAACACAACTTACAAGCTTCGCCTCGTCTCCACTCATTTATGCTCTGTGAACGGGGTGTTGGTTATTTGTCCTGCAATGAGAAATTAGAGTGTTGCAAGGCAAAGTAGACTAAAAATATGCAATGAAAAATATAAACAGTCAAACCATTTGACTACAAGTAAATTTACGCTTTTGGTAAACACAACTTGCAAGCTTCACCTCATCTCCTCTCATTTATGCTTTGTGTGCATCGGGGTGTTACTTGTCCCACAATGGGAAATTGCAGTGTTGCAACGCAAAGTTCAAGAATGAAAATATGTAGTGAAAATGTATGTGAACAGCTCATTAAAACACAATATAACACTTGACTAGAAGTAGATTTACACTTTTTGTAAATACAACTTGCAAGTTCGCCACTCTCTGTTCTCATTTATGCTTTGTGTGCAGTGGGGTGTTATTTGTCCCACAATGAGAAATTCCAGTGCTGCAACGTAAAGTTCAAGAATAAAAAATATGCAGTGAAAAGTTAACATACAAAGCTAATTACAACACAATCGAACCACTTGACTAGAAGTAGATTTATGCTTTTGGTAAACACAACTTGCAAGCTTCACCCCTCTCCTCGCATTTCTGCCTCGTGTGCACAGAGCATGAGCGCATGGGGTGTTGGTGTGTCGGAATTTCCCGCATGGACTGACCGGGATTCTGCTCCGTAATTTACCGCTCCTTACGCGGGGGAGGGAAGTCCATATTGGGGCATGGAAGCGGGCGTGGCTACGCTGTGCTCCTCTCTGCGCTGTCTGCACATCACAAGACAAGCATCGCATTCACTACACTACAGCGAAAAGGCCGCATTGGCACCGCGAGTTTGTGCAATCGTATCGTGCAATAGCGTGCAAGAGACCGCCGTCGGATTTTGGTCGCGTCTTTGCGCACTGGCGACGACGCACTCCGAACCAGGAAGTCGGTTTATTTACGTGTTGTTTTTTTTTTGTTTTGTTTTCTCATTGGACTTGAAGGAAAGTACCAGCAAAGACAACGGAAGGGGAGAAAGAGTGAGGTCAGCGGCGTAGCATGACTCAACCCCGGGGATGCATGCAATCATCGCAGAGTCTCTTATTGGGAGATACACCGCTACGGAACGCAAACATTCTCCGCTTTCCGTGCCTCTCCGTGCGGCTGACAACTTCCAGCACGACCGTGGTGAGTACGGAGCCGTGATATGAGTCGATGTTTTGGGTTTCTTGCTTCTTTTGCGCGTAAAATCTGCAAGCAAAGTTTTGTTTACGTCGTCTCAATCGGCGCATGTGACGCACCGGGCAAGTTCGGGCAGCTTCTCGCTTTATGCTTATTTAGCTGCACTTTTGAACACGCTGTTAGTAATAAAACGTGTCCATACATATCATGCAACAAATAATCTTTAATTAATATCGCCTGTAGTTGTGGAGGATTCATAATACGAGAGCAGGGAGTGGGTCAATAAACCATGTATCAGCGGGTATGTTTTTCGTTGTCGCCTCTCTCTCTCTTGCATCGCAGCGGCCTTGCTTTTCTACTTGTTATTTCACTTCGTGCCACTCGAGGTGAAGTACATTAAGAAGGGACGGTGGATTAGGGCGCCTGACATGTTTTGTAAGCCAATTTAAAAACGTGTCGCTCGTTTATTTAGGTCCAAAAGCTCGCTTGCACGATGATGCGTCACCGACCATGCAACAGCGTGGCCCCTCGCTCCAGTGTTTTTGCCCAAAGCTTTCTGCAACTAACAACAAGCCCGTGTTTACGTGCGACGCTTCGATACAACATGGCTGCAGAGGAGGGCATGTGCAGAAGAGACATGATGGTGCACACAAGCTGCAGGCGAGGTTAGAGTGCGTTAAATATTTCATAAGAGACAATGCATTGACTAAACATAAGGTTCAGTTAATTCTATTACCTATAATAGCAGCAGCATTCAAGTTAGCACTTAATATAAATGAGTTCAGAAGGTTAATATAGTAATATAGATGTAATACATGTTTAATTAAAAGCACAAACTGTAACTTTCTGGTTGTAGCATGTCAGCTGCATAATTCCATGGAAACAGAGAGTTAAAATAACACTTTGGAACATTCCCCATGGAGATACATACAGCTTAAGCCATACTGTGGAATATCATGACCAAAACAAACAACATTTCCGTGGAAACAAGCAGAAGGTGGCCCTCCTACAGCCCAAATAAGAGTCAGGTTTGTGGGAATGCAAGCCCACTCACAGCTAAGCCACATGTTATTTTTTTTCTGTTTAGTTTTTCAGTACAGTAAACACAACCAGAGTGAAAGAATTTGTTTTTTTCTTTGAGTCTATTTTTGACACTGTGGCTTTAAATCGTAATATGCAAAACATAGGCAAAGGCATGCATTAAAAGTATTGTGCAAGTAATGGTTTGAAATGACATTGTTGATTTGTTTGGCCCTATTTTGACATATTTGTGAGCTGTTAAAAGGATGGTACATAGCTGTAAACAAGGCAAAACAACTAGACAGTGTTAAATATTTCAGAGAGGCAATGCATTGACTAAAGATAAAGTTAAGTCCATTTTGTTGACTACAATAGCAACAATAGGCATTTCAACACTATATAAATGAGTACAGAAGGATGCTGATAGAACTACATGATTAATAGCTTATAATATGCTTATAACCATGTAAGTACTGCATTATAAAAGTATTGTGCAATGAATAGTTTGGAATTACTTAGTTGATTTTGCTTTTGGTAAATTGTATGGCATAATGTGTAAGCTGCAGAGAGAGTGTTAAAGGTGCACTGTGTGACTTTTCTGGTGGAGGGTCTACCATCTGCTTGTCTCCGTGGTGATGTTATTGCTTCGGCCGGGATGTTCCACAGTATTAGCCTGATTCATGAGCCAGTTTCACTTCGTAGAAACTTCATTCGACCTCGCAGCATTAGGATTTGTTCACTCGACGGTAGGCGGGTACTTTTTTTTTCATTTAACTGGCTATTTCTCTCCTGCTAGTCGCTGGAGAGAAATGAAATTGAGTGGAGGCACTAGGTGGCGCCAGCCTGGCTACCACAGCATGGCATTAAATAAATAAATCTTGTATTTATTTCATTTCAGATGGTTTTATTGCTCAAAATTACTACAAAAATATGCATCATTTCTGTGAGTGGGTTCACTTCTCCACAGATCTGACCTGTAACTTGGCCTAGTGATATCTCCATGGAGCTTAAAGTTAAATTCAGTGCCATACTGTAGAACAATCCAGGAAGAAACAATAAGATGGAGGGAAACATAATACCAGAAAAGTTTCATAGTGCATCTTTACATATTTTATAAAAAGCAACGCAAGTTTAAAGGTTCATTGCGTAATTTTTCTGGTGGAGGTTCAGTCAAATTGTTTTGCCTGGGATTAAACCTTTCTGTCTTCATGGAGCCCAAACCAGACCAAGTTACAGGTCAGATCTGTGGAACGGCGACCCCGCTCACAGTCAAAAAGCCTGTTTTTCTCTGTATTTTTTACCTATAAAGCCACTTGTAATTGAATTAACATAAAGTAGATCTGTTTAATGTCACACTGTGGAACATTTTAGGCAAAGCGATGACATCTCCATAGAAACAAACAGGGGAATGTTGATAATGTAAAAAAGCATATAATATGCATAGCAACCATGAACGTATAAGAAATGCATTATTAACAATTTGTGCAAGTAATGGTTGTAAATTCGTGTTCATTTTGCTATTGCTGAACTCTCTGACCATATTCTGACACATATTCATGACTTTTTAAAAGGAAGTTAGTTAACATGTAATCTAGTGCAGAGGAAGGAACTGTACAATTGCATAAAAGCAGTGTAGAATGGTTAAAGATGAATAAAGTGACATGTTTGTAGTGCATTTCCCCCTGTCATTTAGAAACCAGAAATTACACACTTTTAAATGGTTAGCCTTAAATTTGCTATGAGACGCTACACTGCCAGATGACAAGGCAGTTTCACTCGGCAAACTAGGAAGTGAAAGGTGGTTGGCAATGTGCTTGTGATTTGAATGAAAATGGTTGTTTTTATTGCAGAAGTTATTGCCTAAATGGTAGAATTGCAGAAATTATTAACCCTTCCAGACCTAAGGGCAGTTTTAGTTAATTTGTCCTCGCCTGGATTTTTTTTCCTTAATTTTGCTTTAAAACTCCCCCTTTTACCCCCTGATGAAGTGTTAGACATCCTTTTTTCCAGTACAACTTGTTATTTCACAATCTGCTGCTGTAGTTGTGTCATATGACTGTAATAAAAGCTGCAGGACCAGAAATACCTTCAAACTACTTTCATTAAAAAAAAAAAACTTTTTGGACATAAAAAATGCTTAATTTAGAACTACAAAAGTGTAAAATATCAAGTGTGTAAGTAAACTCAAAATATCTTTATTGTCTCAAAACAAAAAAAAAGTGCAATGGCCTCATGACTTTCCTGGTGTCAGTCATGGAAACAGCTGGTGTCAGGTCCAGGACACAGAGCCACATCACTTCTGCATTTCCATGGAAGTTTATTACATTTGGATTTGTACATTTGGACTGAAATAAACCTGAAAATAGAAATAGCAAGTGATGCACAATTACACAAACCAAAATGCATAATTTGCAATTTATTAGAGAAATATCTGCACTTAGAGCGACTTTTTCAATTGTTATAAACACAGAAGCTCAAAGCATCGATCATTTTGACTCACTACACTCTTTGGCAAAGTTTGGACCAATCAAAATAAATGGAGCACATGAGTTTGGAGGAAAACAGAGTTCCTATTGGACACTCGTTTTCCCTACATCATCACACAGTGTGAGTGTGACGTATGATAATGCCGGAAATATGCACAGAAAGCTGCAAGTCTCAGCTAAGTTTCTTATTTTTTATGGTTGGAAAGTTATGCACGGTTTTTAGGGCTGGGTATCATTAAGTAGTTGACGATACGATACATACCTCGATACATAGGCCACAATACAATACATATCCCCATACAGTGCACTTTTGATTCGATACGATATATTTCAAATCGATCCCATATGGTTCAGTAAAAAATAAAGGCAAAATCTTGACTGTGATACTAAAAGTCTTTGTTAAACCAATTCTTGTGCAAAGTTGATATGAAACACAAAAATTTTATTCATCAAAACAGTGAAAATGTCAAATGTAAACGAGTTTTCTTCCTCTAAACAAGCAACAAAACTGTAGCTGTAACAAAATAATTTAGTAAAGTATACTAAAAAAGACTCTTGGTGATGTATCGATACAGCAGTCCACAATATCGATACTGTATCATCACTTTAAACGATACGATATATCGATATTTTGATATTTTTGCACACCCCTAATGATTATATAAAACCTATTCCCAGGTATCATGTACGATACTGTTGAGCTGGAAGGGTTCACTGCTAAACTAATCCAAGAATCCCATGTATTTCAGAACATGTTTGTACTTTAAACTTTGCAGCTTTTACACAGAATAAGACTCCATGGAAACACAGGGTCATTCAGCTGAGACAACGTTGTATTAACTAAATAATTAAGGGGGGACTAAGAGAGAGGTTTTTATGTGGTTGTGCTAGCAATAATAGCTTCTCTGCAAGTTTAACATTCCTTTTAATATGAGCCATTAGTCAAAAGCCTATTAGCGGTTCGCGCCTAGTACTTTAATGATTTGTTTATTCAGCCTGATATTGTAAGAGCTGTGGTGCCTTATTGTGCTTTAATTACACCTTCAAGCTAAATTACACCTAATTACAAACATAAGATTAAAGAGTTGACAACAGCGACTAGCCTTCCATCTTTTCTCTTCTGTTCCTCTGACCTTCTCCTCTGCTCCTCTGACCCTCTCCCCTGTTCCTCTGACCCTGTCCCCTGCTCCTCTGACCCTCTCCTCTGACCATCTGACCTTCTCCTTTGCATCCTCTGCTCTCACACCGATACAGTATTCATTATTACTAATGTTCTAACATCTATCTACCATCTACCCAACATTACTAATAATGGGTAGATTCAAACTGTTGTTACCATCATTCTGAAAGGTAATGAATTGTGTTTTTGAGTATAATATTTTGTTTATCTGTAGAGTAATCATTGAAATCACAGTTTGCACGGCTCTATCTAAAGTATGAGATCATTTCCTTTTCAAATGTCACCTTCACTGACTCAACAAAAAAAGATTACGTAATATT